CTTGCCTTCCTAAGTACTCACGAGAAAATGAAACCGTGTGTAACTACCCCGAGCAGGGCGACATTTGACAGTGCGGCCGCTGGACAAAGAGGGACCTAAACAAAGGAGGGGCTCATTGTGTCTGCGGACAGAGGTTCACCGCGTCCGTGGACAGGGGTCGCCGTGTCCGTGGATAGAACGTCACCTTATCCGTGGACAGAGGATCGCCGTGTCCGTGGATAGAACGTCACCTTATCCGTGGACAGAGGATCGCCGTGTCCGTGGATAGAACGTTACCTTATCCGTGGAGAGGATCACCGTGTCCATGGATAGGATGTCTCGGCATTTAAGCGAGCTGGCAATTCCCCGTCCTGAGAGTCAGAAGATCTCAAACCTGCTGTGCTCAGCAGGACAACACAAGACTGTGTATGGTCCCAAACAAGCTTGTTGTAAAATCTGCTGGGAAGCAGAGGACCCAGACAAGCTACCGTGTGTCTGAAGCAGAAGAAGACGGGAAAGACCTGTTCTCCTCAGCACACACAGAAGGCCAGGGGGCTGTAGCAGAAGACCAGACACAGGCCTGGGATGCAGGAAGCGGCTGTCAAAGTGATTCCGACGCCTTATTGGCCCCGATGTGAGCGTTTGGGCCTTCCTTGAGTTGTCATGATTCACACTGAAGGCTTCACGCCCACCTCACGCTCAGCACGTCATCGAGGAAGAAGGTGTCTGCTTCCCACCTCAGAGGAAGTGAGCCACTGAAAGCCTGATGCCCGGCAGGGAGTGAGGTCAGGTACAGAGGCCTGACGCCTGGGGCCGTGTCCAGAGTGGCCTGTGAAAGCCACTTCACAGCAGGAGAAAGCCTCTAGGACGTGGGGTCCTTCAGCACGCCACCTAAACCACGAGTGGACTTGGACAAAAGTGCCAGGTGGCTGCACTCCCTGTGGCCCGTCGGTACTGTGAACGCCTGCTCGAGAGTCATGGGCAGCCCACTTGTCCACACGGCTGCACAGAGCTGTCTCGGAGGGTGGGGGGCGTTCCCTGACAAAGTCACACGTCATGGGGCGTGAGAGTTAGTGTTAGGGAATGTGGGGTGTGCAGGCAGCGCGTCTGATTGCTCTGAGGTTTGTGCAGGGTGCTCACGTGCGCACATACAGGCTCTGAGAGCTGTGATTGCACCAGCCCACCCCCTCAGTGATGTGGTTGACTTGAGGGTGCTGGGCTGGGGCTTGGTTGACCAGCCCCTGGCCTTGGCGGGCCTCTGGGTGAGGTGGCCTCTTAGGAGCTCCCCGTGATCTGGGGTCAGTTTGACAATGTCCTGTGAATCATTCCAAAATAAAGTGGGGTTTTTTTTGTTTTGTTTTTTAAACCCTGAGGACCAATGAGCACTGGATGGGGCAGCTAGACCATGGTGGGGCTGTGTGAGCATTTCCTCAACTCTGGCCCCCCGTCGGCCTGCCTCCATCAAGAATGTTCTGTCACCACCGCACTGTTGTCGGGGGGCAGTGGGAGATCCTCCCGCATGTGCCGGGGGTCACGGTGGTGTGAACCCCCCACTCTGGCGTCCGTAGACAAGACTGCCCCTGCCCTGGCTGCCCTGAGCCGCCCTGCTCTGCCTCCTCAGGCTCACCCAGCGGCTTCATCCCCAAGACGGCTCCGCCTCCCAAGGGCGGCAGCAGCTCCTGGCAGACGAGCCGGCCCCCTGCCCCAGCCACCTCCTGGTCCCCCCAGGCCAAGCCGTCCACTGCCAAAGCCTGCCCGCCGCCACGGCCCAACTACGCCATGAACTTCAGCGTGATTGGTGGCCGCGAGGAGAGGGGGGTCCGCACACCCAGCTTCAGTAAGTCGTCCGTCCCCTGTGGGGCTGCAGTGGGTGACTGCTCACCCGTCTGTCACGGTGGCGGTGGGTTTGTCACGGGTCTAGCCCACATCTCCCTCCTGTCCTCAGCCCATCTTCCCATAGGCGAGGAGGGGGTGGGGGTGGGGGGAAGTCCCGGGCAGCACCTTTTCTGGCATCTCCTAGTGAGTGTCCCCCAGCTCTATGTCTTGTGTCCCCTCTGACTGGGGCGGCCAGTGAGGCCAGCCGCACCCTGGGGTGGGAGAGGGCGTGGAGGAGGAGCCTCCCTGGTTTGCTCACCCAGTGCGAGGCCCCAGCTTCCTGCTGTGAGACGGCCCTGCTTTGTCCTCTGCTAGCTCCAAAGCCCAAGGTGTCGGAGAGCGACTTTGAGGACCTGCTGCCCAACGACGGCTTCCCCTCCAAGGCTGACCGCAAGGGACCCAGGACCATCGCCGAGATGCGGCGGCAGGGCACAGCCAGGGACGCCGACCCGCTCAAACTGAAGGTGCGCCCGCCGAGGCAGGCACACGGGGGCTCCCTCAACCTGGGGAATGCTGCTCCTGCACGGGGCTCCTGGCCTTTCCCCACTCACACCCAGGACCCCTGGGGTGCAGAGAGCGTGCGAAGGGGCCAGGGCGGCGAGGTCCCCATGTTGCCATGCAGGGCTGGTCTTTGCTCTGTTGGGGATCTCCCAAGTGGCCTCTGTTGGGAGTGGGGGTGCTGAGTGGTGGGAGATGGGTGGGTCTGTAGCTTAGAGCCTGGGAGAAGGTCACAGAGGTCAGACCTCTGGGTGTGTGTGTGTGTGTGTGTAGGGGGTGGAGGTGGGGGCTGTGAAGACCAGTTTTGTAAGACTTGAAGGTAGACTGGTCGGCATAGGGCAGTACCCAGGACGAGCAGCAGGGGGCCCCGTTGGACATGAGGGGTCAGGGCTGTGTGTCAGGCAACCCAGGGACACCCCCTACCACCCCCCCAGTGTGCCCGGCCCGTCACCAGGAGTGCTAAGCTGGGCCAGCAAGTGGGGTGCTCCAAAGCCGGGCACCCTGGGCTGGCAGCCCCCCTGCACTCAGGGCACAGTCGTCACTGCAGGGCCACAGCCCTGGGCCCGCCCCCACGCACAGTCCTGCTGGCACCTGTGGGTAGACAGCAGGCAGCTCGTGCTCCACTGGGGTCACCTTGGTGGGTGCAGCAGCGGGAGGCGGGTGGGCGAGGCTCAGGCTCCCCGTATGCCCCACAGCTCCTGGACTGGATCGAGGGCAAAGAGCGCAACATCCGGGCGCTGCTGTCCACACTGCACACGGTGCTCTGGGAGGGCGAGAGCCGCTGGACGCCCGTGGGCATGGCCGACCTGGTGACGCCCGGCCAGGTCAAGAAGCACTACCGCCGGGCCGTGCTGGTCGTCCACCCCGACAAGGTGAGTGCCCCGCCCGCGTCGAGCTGCGTGCTCACTAGGGGTGGACCAGAAAGAGTGCCACCTCACCTGTGCATGTGCGTTGCCCACAGGCCACGGGCCAGCCCTACGAGCAGCATGCCAGGATGATCTTCATGGAGCTCAATGACGCCTGGTCCGAGTTTGAGAACCAGGGCTCCAAGGCTCTCTTCTGAGCAGGCCGCCCCGCCCGGCCACTTCACACCTGGGTCCAAGCGCTGCCCACGGAGCCCTCAGTCCTTGTCGAACAAGTGCTGCCCCCACGATGGAGCCCCAGCCCGCCCGTCCACCCCCGGGGCCTGGGGCCTCACTGGCGGTGGAGCAAGCGCCATTCCCCCAGAACTGGGGTAGGAGCGCCATTCCAGAGCCGCCGGCTGCTGTCCACGTTCGCCCTGTCCCGAAGGAGAGGGCACGTGGCCCACTGCGGTGGGGAGGGGGCGTCTGGGGTGGCCACCCCCCAGGGCTCCGGCTGTCAGCTCGCTCTTGCTGGAAATGTCTTTTCCTCCTTGGTCGGAAGGTGTACATTTGCATCTTGTGTTCTGTAATCCGTCTGATGACCGTCCTGTACATAATTAAACTATTTTCTGATGACCGAACTGCTCTCTGACTCCCCGAGGGGAGCGGTGCCCGCAGTGCCCTCGGGAGGCTGGACGGGTGCTCACGGCCCTGGCACCACGGCTGCCCGCCGGGCTGTGACCCTGGAGGCCCCCCCCGGGACCACACGGCCCCCCAGCACGGAGCCCTGCCCGCCTGCCCTGAAGGATGGACGGAGAGGAGCACACGGCGCTCGGCCACGGGATTGAAGGAAGGAGCCCCCTCAGGCGGTCAGCCCAAGGGCCAGGCCCACCTGCCTCCAGGACCCTCTGGCACTGGCCTTCTGTCGTGCGCAGCGCACCTGTGGACACCCCGGGCATGTCACAGCCGCTGGAGCCGGGACGGGGTGTGCAGGGGTCTGTGCTGCAGAGCCAGCCTGGACGGCGTGCCCTTCGGCCTGCCTGGCTCAGGGACTGTCGGGCAAGTGCTCAGTGAAAGTGTACAGACTGCTGGAGCAGGTAGCCGGACCCCGCGAGCCCCTGGCCTCAGTGACGGCCACCCGGATGGTCCTGTCTCAGCCAAGGCAGGCGGGGCTGGGTGTAGGTGCACCCCAGCCACCACTCCAGCCCAGGTCCTGTGCATTGTGGGATTCCTGGTACTGGGCCTGCCTCTCGGGCCTCCTGGCAGCTGGCGGGCAGTCCCTCCTGAGGGTCAGGTGAGTGCAGCTCCCCCTCTAGGGACCAGACCTGAGTGCGGTCCCTGGTGCCAGTGGCATGCAGGATTCCACGTGCCTCTCCCAGGCCCAGGGGGTGAGATGGTAGCTTTTGCCAGACTCTGGGTGGATAGGCGGGGCCCCCAAAAAGATAAGCAGGTACCCCACCTCTGCCCACTTTCCTCCAAAGTGCCCCCAGCCCCCTCCCAGGGGCTGAGTGCCCAGCACGGGAGCTGCATGCTGGGCATGGGAGCCCTGGCACCACCTGCCTGCCTCAGTGCCACGGGAGGCCTCTCCTGCCCCCACCGTCAGCCCCGGGTTTGCGGTAAGGGCAGGAGAGTTGGAGGTATCGGTGGTCCTGAATGGCTGCGTCCTTCCTCGACGTCCCTTCCTGCCCATCGCAGGGACCCAGAGGCCATCGGGCGGGACCTGGGCCCCTGCCGGGTGAGGGCTGCTTGTGGACGACCCCGCCATCCTGAAGACCCCTGTCACCAAGGACACCCTTCTCAGGACAGGAAAAGGCCGAGCCACGGCCTGGCCCGCCTGAGGGCAGGGGGTGAGGGCTGCGGGCGGAGAGGACGGCGCCGGCACCTTGGCTGTGCTATTTTTAGTGCCCTGCTCTTTTAAAAAATAATGAGCGACCCACATAATCGAGGCGCCTGCAAACCCAGGCAGCGGGCTTCCTCCCAGGGCTGCTGTCGCAGGAACACCACCCGTGGGTGGCTGCCGTGCTGAACAGCAGTCTCCCCACAGGGTGGGGGCCCCAAAAGACCACGCTCGAGGCGCCGGCTGAGCGCCAGGGGTGGGCTCCTCTCCCTGTGGCCCCTCCTGAGCACCTGCTGCTGCTGGTCTGCCCGTGGCCCGGTCTCTCTGGACCCCTGCTCTGCGGGTGCCCTCTATCTCCAAAGACAGCCCCTGCCCTGGTCCTCGTCACCCCAAGGACAAGGACAGCCCAGCCCCACTGGGGCTCACCACAGGCCTCTAGGTGCCCCAGAGGTGGCCGGTTCCGACCCATAGCGACCCTGTCACACACCACACTGCCCAGTGGCCCTGCGAGATCCTCACCGCCGGTTGTCACTCCAGCTCTGCCCCTCGCCGCCCCTCCGCTTCCCCCGAGGTCTCGGCCCCCTGGCCGCGAAGGAGCACCCTGGCCGTACTCCTTCCAAGACGGATCCGTCTGACCGTCCGGCGGTCCGTGGTCCTTCCGATGGCCTCATGAAAGACTCGCTGCCATCGAGGCGATTTCAACTCCTCCCTTGAGACCCTGCAGGGTAGGGCAGAACTGCCCACTGAGCTTCCGCGACTCATGCTGTGTGGGGGCAGGAACCCCGTAAACTCTGTCTCCCTCGGAGCAGCGGCTGGTGGTTTTGAGCTGCTGACCCTGTAACCACGATGCCACCAGGGCTTCCTCTCACACGAGGCGATACCACACAACCCACCCACCCACCCAGTGGAGTCAAGGGCAGCTTGGAGGACAGGTCATTGTCGCTGAGGGTCACCCAGGCTGGACCAGGGCTGTGGACGGTGCCGGTCCTGGGGTCCCAGCACCAGTGCCATGGGGTTGAGGAGGAGGCAGGCAGGGTCAGCAGATGGGGAAGCCATGGGGCCCGGGCCTGGGAGTCCTGAGCAGGGGCAAGCTGGAGGTTGGGGTGGCCAGTGCCCTGAAAGGCAGCCATTCCCCCACTCTCTCTGGACTGGAGCCCTCTGCTCCCTGCACCCCTCCCTCACCCTCACTGCCCCTTGTCTCCACTGGGGACACACGTGGTCAGCTTCAAGCCCACTGTCACATTGAAGGACTCCCAGGGTGGACCCTCTGCCTCCGCAGCCCTGCCCTCCCTGCCGGCGGCAGCCCCACCCAGGATGTCCCCTTCACACCTGGTTCCTGAGCGCATCCTGAGGAGCCAGCCTCGGGCCAGGACGTGGCAGGTGCTCTTGTTTGGCAGCAGACTCCAGGTGGGAAGCAGCAGAGGCCAGCGCGGTGCCAGCTGTCGGGGAGAAAGGGCGGGTGGCTCCAGGAGGGACCGGTCCTGTCACCTCGGGACTCACCAAAGCCTCCCACTGGACCCTCAGCCACTCCCTGTCCTACAAGGCCTGAGCCCTGCATGGGGGATGGTCCAGGGCCTCTGCTGCCCTCCTGGGGAGCCCCCACGTCATGGCCCAGAGTGGGTGTCCTCTCAGGGAGGCGAACCCAGGGGAGGGCCAGCTGTGGCCATGCAGGTGCAGGGATGACTGGGAGGTTGGGTTCAGAGGAGCTGCTGTGGTGGGGGTTCCCTGAGCACCAGGACAGTCATCTCAGGGAGGAAGCAGGGGGACTCTTTGGAGAAGAGGGGTCTGGAACAGCTCAGAGTAGCCCCCCTGAAACTGACTCAAGCCCAGAGGGGACACAGTACCTGGGTGTACACACCTGACCCGATATACCTGGCCATACACACCTGCTCTCAGACACCTGGGCTTACATACCTGACCTGCTATACCTGGGCTTAGACACCTGGGCTTACACTTCATATGCATGGGCTTACACACTTGAGCTGAGACACCTGGATTTATATGCTTGAGCTCACACACCTGATCGCTTGCACACCTGGGCTCGCACATCTGCGTGTGTGCAAATTGTTTTACGTACCCGATGTGCAAATGGGTCTAACATACCTGAGCTCACATACTTGGGCTTACATGCCTCAACTTACATAACCTGGGCGGGCACCCAGGGGCATATGCAAAGGAGTTCGACATACCTGGGTATACAATGGGAGAAAGGGCTTCCTATGTGCTCCTGTAGAGAGGGGCAGTTCTACCCTGTCCTGTAGGGTTGCTGTGAGTCGGCATCCACTCGACGGCAGTGGTTTGGGTATACAAGATGGGTCTAACACACCTGTGCCTACCCGCCTCCTGGACCTGGTGTTTTGGCCCCACCCCGCTCAGCACGTGGACACTTGGGCACACACGGAGCTAGAAAGGTGCTGGCAGTGTGTGCAGACGTACCCACAGACAGATGTGGGTGTGGAGAGGCACACACGCGTGGAAGCCTCAGACACGCACTGTTCCTCAGGGTAAGTAAGGTACGACGGGCCAGCTCACCGCCAGCTCGTGACTCTCCAAGTGGTGGCCAGAGGCTGTGGTGTGCCCGAACCCCCGACGGCCTGAGCGACTGCCCTACTGTCTCACAGCAGCCCGACGCAGAGAGACAGCAGCTTCCCGAAAACCAGACTCCACTGAGCGCTGCCTGCCACGGTTTCACTGTTTCCATCGAAAGGAACACAAAATCTCCACTGCACCCAGTCAGGTACGCATCTCCGTGTCTGGCACCCAAGGAAAAAGGAACCGTTTGTGAGACGCGGGGAGCACGAATCGGCTAGGGAAAGAACTCGCAGAGAAGACCATTAGCGGATTCCCGGGTACTCAGGTCTGTCCACAAGTTCTCTCAGCCTCCGCTCATCAGGGGCTGAGCTGGGCCAGGCTGCACCGCCTCCCCCAGCTCCGAGGGCTGGCAGGACCGACACAACTGCTCCACAGGACTTTCTGGCCGACAATCCAAATGGAAGCAAACTGCTGGGCCCTGCTGGGTGGATGGAACCCTCAACCTTGAGGTCACCAGTCAGAGCAAGCCAGTTGCCCCACCTGCGTCCGGCGGGACCTTGCTGCTGGTGTCAGGTGCCCTCCAGTCTTTCTGGCTCCTAAGGACCCTGTCTGTGTGTCATCGCATGAGGACACTGCCCTGTCCTGTGACGGTCAGCCCGAGTAATCCAGCCTCTGACAGCCGAGGGGTCCGTAGGTAACACGCTCACCTCCAGGACGGCCATGATCCCAGCAGCCGGGTTCATGCAGAGAGAGGAGAGCCAGCAAGTATATTTCCAATCAATTCTTACTACACTTAGGGGGTGTGCAAGCCCCCTGATTACATCATAACGGGAAGGGGTGGTACCATAGGCAATACAAGCAATGGGAGGGGAATGATTTAGGGGTGTCCAAGCAATAGGAAGGGGAGGAGCTAGGAGGACACGTGACAAGATGGGCAGATCTTAGATTCGAGATGGCAGCCTAGCCTTGGTCGTCCTTGAGTGGGCTTGACCTTGTCTCTGAGCTCTCCTTCAGGGAAACAATCCACTCGCCTTATCAGCAAGGAGTGGGCCTCACTGATTGCTCTAGGTGGCCGATACCCTCAGGGAGGGACCCTCTAAGCAGCTGACCCCTCACTGTGCGCTAGGAAGCAGCCTCCTAGCTTTGGCATGTATTTGGGGGAGCCAACCTGGGGAAAACCACTCTTGCATCCGCATCTCCCACCTGTGGTTGAGCCCGTTGCTGCAGCCACGGGGTCTGTCCATCTCACGGTAGGCCGTCCTCTTTG